AGATACATGAGCCCGCCGCGCCCAGGAAACTCACGCACGCAGGCGCCGCCAACAAATTTAGCTGTCGGTGGTTTTACAAAGGAATGGATCACAAGATGTACCTGGTGCCGGGGACGCGATGCTTCAACGACGGCTTCGGTTCGCGTGATCGAGGTCGTCGTCGTGCTTCAAGGGGACACGACGGGCTGCTGCCCCCAGCCACGACGGCTGGACGTCGGGCTTCCACTTGCCTGTGATCGAGGTCGCGGTGCTTAAGGGGACGTCAAGCGCAAGTCCTTCGGGCGACGGGCTAGGGCGGAGGCCGGTGCGAGTGAGGGTGAGCTCAGCTGGCGAGGGTGGGCGCTATGGCGAGGCCATAGGATTTATAGCAGAGGATTGATAGCAGTCTCTCTCTTTTCTTTTGTCTTAATTCTCTTTCCTTCTGTGTTAATTCTCTTTCATTTTGCTCATTGCCATGTATGCTGGTGCATGCAAACATGCAATGTGTATATGGATAGCACAATAATTTTCTACTTCCTATTTTGCCATGATTCCTCTATCACATGACAGGCAATATTCAATCAAGGAGAATGGCATGATCAATCAGTAATTAAGATTAACCTATAATCAATGTGTAATCGGTTTGACCAGCCTATAGTACACTGTATATTTATTTATATAGTATATTGCCCGTGCTAACGCTACGGTGAGATTTAGGATAACACAAATTAAACAAGCAAAATCGTGTATATGCTTTAGTGATTTTGAAAAATCATCAATCACATATTATAATATTAGAATACAAAAGAGGGTGAGAACATAGGCACACTACAAAAGCTAGTCATCTCATGGTCACACTTACAGACTTACTGCAAACTTACTGCAAATAGGGTGAGAACATAGGCACCAGCAGTGACACCCAAACATATTACAGACCCTAAACTGCAGGGAAGAAACCAAAGTAGTAATACAGAATTCAGCAATTGTCATGATATGCGACCTAAAAAAATCAAGGACATCAGCAACTGATCTGCAAGGTCATCGACAAATGGCACAGGCACATCAGCTGAAGCAACAGCGAGGCAGCCTTTGGACAGAAGAACAATCCTTGGAAGCAAGACATGTCTACCACACAAGAAGAATTTCCCCAATGTATTAAGTTGCTGATCTATGGCCAAGCTTGCTACCTTTACCAAAAAAAAATCTAGAGGCAACAAAGGCACATGATTTAAGGCTACATCCGGATAAGTTACGAGCGCGGGCTTGTCCTCGTCTCCATATACAGAAACCGATAGAGGGCCATGCCTCGTCTTTACTCGATGCTCCTGAGGAAACACAAGTCACAACACATGTTCAGGATCATCAGAATTCAGTCCTGTACAGAGAAATAACACAATCAGACATATTTTGAGTTTGACATATTACATCTAATTCCTCATCAGTTGACACCGGGACGAATCAGGAGCGTGTATTCTTAGAAAGGAAAAAGGGAAAGGAAAAGCAGTGAAGTACCGACTGTTCTAATGGCGATGCCTGCGCTGGTGCTCCTGCTGGAATGGTGCTCCAGCCACCCCATGTCCATGCTCGAGTCCTGCAAGCGCGTACACCAGAGAATGGCAGGAAAAATAAACTTCAAAGTCACTTGAGATGAACTGAGAGATAAAAACAAGGCATTGCCATATATCACAGTATGAACATGATGATAGGCTAAAGCCTTCACCATGATGGTTAGAGATCATACCGTCACAAACTTGCTTCAGTTTTAACAGGCTAAAAAATCAACCTTCCTAGGAAATCGTGTTACATGAAGTTTCACTTTACCTTGAGATTGGCTGCTTCAAGGTTAGCTCCTCTTAAGTTGGCTTGTGTAGGCTTTTAGCAGTCTGAAAATCCACTGCAGTGAACTAAGAAACGAATCAAATATCATGGTCATGTCCTCAGATATATGGCACATAATCATGAGCACGAGTTAATATCATTGACATGGTGATATCGTCAGATATATGGCACAATACCTAGTATTGTCAAGATCCAGCCGAACCGAGCAGGTGACACGATACGCAATGCAAAAAAAAATCTGTTGTAATAAGGCAGTAACCATCTAGATTGGTAAGGGAAAAGTGGGAGAACAATAGATGGATTGCCTCCAAATCGCAAAGCAATGCCAGCTGGACGATTAAATGGACCTTAGCTTGTCGGATTGCGTAGGCCTATAAACAAATTAAGGTATGGTCAGAGCTATCATCTATCAGGGATCCAGGTGATCAGAAGCTGCTAAGAATAAAAATACCAAAGGAAGAGGACTAAACTGCACACAAATGTCAGAAGGACCTGGTAAAAACTGATCGGGCCTTGATGTCTCTGATGGTTACTCTAATCTATGCTAAAGGGAGACATGAAGTACTTTTGAAAATAGGCATTGTCATGTAGGCTTTCAGTTGCTGAGATAATCAAAAATCAATGTGTTAAGAGTCCTTTCAGGAAGAATAATTTATATAATTACAAAAGATAATACTGAAATCCCTCCTGCAAGGTTTAAATTAGCGAAAGATTATACTTATCACCCTCTGCAGGAGAGAGAATTGAAAGACATATAAATCATTGACAAATTAAGCTTTATAGGTCTTGCCTGTGCGTTGCTACATGCAAACAAAAAATAGAATTATGCCTCACTATATGGTATGAGAGGATGTTCAACTTTGTGAGATGTAGATGTGAATTCTTTTCTCTCCTAGTTACTGATTTGCATGCTAATTTATTTTAGACAATGACTAATGTGTGCTAATCTGAATGAAGATCTCTTTAGCATCAAATTAAATGCTATGCCTTTAGATTCTAGCTAGTAGTAGATGCAATGAAGCTTAAAATAGATGTGTAACATGTAGAACTATACAATCCAAAGCTTCCTTCGTTTGCAAGAAGCAATTTTTAGGAAGGAAAAATGGTGTAGGAGGAAAACAAAATTTATATCACGCACTTGCAAGCACAAGTAGAGATAACTGTTCTAATCACATAACTGGATAAAAAATTAGGTAACCCAATCCAAGAACCACTATGCATGGACAACGATGTACCTTGTGAACGCATATCCTAAGGTCTGCACCATATATGTCGGCCAGCATGATTGCACCTTTGGAGCTGTCATCTCTCTGTTGCTCCTGTGCAGTACAGGCCTGGACGTGCTTTGTGTCCTAGCAGCAAGGCTGGTGCTTCACCTCCCAGCAACAACACAGTGTCGATGGAGGTGCCAACAATGTCAATTGACACCACTGTTGGTAGGGAGGTCGTTGAGTACACCTCGTCAATTTTGACTAAAAAATAAATAAAAAACACTGAGAAGGTGACGCAAGGTTTGTTTAGAACTTTACAAGCAAAAACTAAAAGTTTGAATGAGATACCAAATCTCTGTTATAGCAGAAACACCATAGTTCCCTACCCTCTGCTTTTGGGTCATTGGGTGTTTGACACCACTGCAATAGCTCATCACCATCCTCTCAGCCAGCTTCAGCATGCTCTTCCTTCCCTCCGTGCTAGGCACCACTGCAACAAATGATTTTTCATAATGATCTGAATTTTTTGGGGATTCAATTAGATAGAGAGAAAATGGTACACGATAATGCATGTCATAGACTAAATAGAGATTACCACCGATATCACTTGATTGGAATGCTGTTGGCATAACGACACTGGCAAGACGCACGCACTGGCAATCCAGCATTCCATCCAACCAGTGTGCACCGAAGGCGAGCCCCGAGTTCACCCATAGCTTGTAGATGTTGTGCACCAACCTGTCCACTTCGACGTGCTCCACCCATCCCACTTGATATATGGAGACGCAATACAAATCTCATTTTTAGATAATATAAAGTACAGATCGCATGATCAGTCTCTCAACGAAGCATGTATGAAAATTGAAAGATTCAATCATGTACAAATTGCTGACCTTTGAGTAGCCACCATCCGATCCCACAACTCCTGAGCCTTGGCCACAACACCCTGGTACCAGCATGCATCAGAAAGAGTATTGTGCACGACCAAACTGGGCAGCATCCCCCATCTAAGCATTTCGTCAAACAGCTCCCAGGTGCACCCAAACCTGTGTGCTTGTGTGACCAAACTTACGAAGCAACAGGATTCGCCCTGACGCCCTCCATGGATGCCGGCCGCGGGAGCGCGTGGGGGAGAGGAGGTGTTAGGGCGGGAGGAGATGTTGGGGGCTGGTACCACCTCTTCGACGATAACGCACTCCATCATGTTGACGTGGTGGTGCACGCTGTACGGGGGTGCGCCGCCGGCAATGAACCGGGCCTTGAGGAGGCGGTCCGCGCCGAGCCGGATGTCCGCGATGAACCAGCCCACGCGGCCCGGTCGCTTCATCGCCTAAGCCACCCGCTTCGTCGGCGCGTCCCCGCCTGCCAGATCATGCTGGTGAGCCACTGCCGATGCCGACGGCGCCACGGAAGTGCCGACGCGACTTGGAGGCAGTCTCCGAGAAGATCTCATTGGACTTTTTCGCCGTCTCCGAGACCAGCGCCGACGAGTGCTTGGCCACCTCCACGGAAAGCTCCTGCGACCGCTTCACCGCCTCGCTGGCAAAGGCTCCGACGGCAGCGCCCTCGGTGGCCGCACGTCGGCAGTCCCGCCCCCGGCAGCCGCGCCACAGCAGGCCGGCGCACCCGCGCCGTCTTGCCTGGCACCACCACCGCCGCGATCCATAGGCGTCCCGAGGGAATCCGCCACCGCCGCGTCCGCCCTGCACAGATCCAGAGCGGTGGTGCACCGGTGCTGCCCTGGCGGTCGTCCCGTACTTCGCGCGCGCTTGATGGTCGCGCGGTTCGAGGGGTTATGGCCCCCGGCCACGGATCGCATTGTGACGACGTGGCTATGGATGGTGGCTGGGTCGAGCGGCGCGAGGTTTGAGGCCACCTACGCGCGGAGTGGAGCACTGGCGATCGCGGAGTGATTGATGGTAACCTGGCGGAGGGTCTGAAAACCTGGGCACCTGGCGTAGGGCTGCCGCGATGGTGAGATAGAGTGCGTGCGGGCCCTGCGCCATGGTGGTCGCTGGCGGGCGGCGTCCTGGCATCCTTGGCCGGTGCCCTCACCTGGTGGGCGGCTCCCTCGCTTGGTGGGATGAAAGATGGAGGAGTCGTCGTCGCACGCGTGGGAGAGGAGGCGTCGGGGGAGTGGGGGAGTCGCGCGGGGTGGGAGGCGTCGGGGGTGAGGGGGAGGCGATTCGCATGGTTAGGTAGACGGACGAACCAAAACAAATGTCGCACCAAAAGATGTCCACGCTTTGTTCTTTTTAGTTGTAGGAGATACACATGTTATTGAACTAACTATTTGTCAAAAGTAGTTCTCAGAAGGCATGGGCGCCTTACATTGTCCAATAGAAGAATTAGTGTGAATAATTGGTGAACTGGGTTGTTTCATATATCATACCATGCATGCTACTATACAGGTGGTACGATCCAGCCTTGATTAGTGAAAGCAAAAGCTAATTATTTCATATGACATACCATTCATGCTACTTTACAGGTGGTAGCGAGCCTTGATTAGTCAAAGCAGCAACTGATCAATTAAACAAGTTGCCCTTCTACCATTCCTTTTTGGAACCGTACAACTAGACCGTCTTTGGTACATATCCTGCATCTTTCATCAATTGTTGATTCATTTGTATTCATTTTTTCAAAATATTAATAAAAGATTGAATGTTAGTTATGCCTTAAATATCAAAGAATTATGCAAACACTTATGACAAGAACCTTGTTGCTACTTGCAGGATCTTGCAAAAGAACTTATTAGTATGTTTACAACTAGTGAAATGGCGAAAGTATTCTTTACATGCAGTGGTTCAGAAGCAAATGACTCTCAAGTAAGGATGTTAAAGTATCAACCATTCTTGTAGTTTACACCTAGAAAATTTGTATCATTTAGAACAAACTATTGAGTTACAGTCTGAAACATTTCAAGTTCAAGTTTGAATATGTGTGAAAATTAATAAATACTATGAAATATGGAAGAAATGAACTAGGTTTTAAAATACATGTGAAGTAATGATTGAAATGTAGATGATTCCTGAACAAATGATCAAAACCAAACATAAATTTAGGCCAAACTAAGTATTGTTAGCCAGTTAGTATTCATATAGTCTTACTACCTCCCACAAGTATTACATGTGATCAATAACCTGCAGAACCACACGTTGGTTTACACATCATATATTACCATTGTCATGATTCAGTTCTCTCAAAATTACTATCGATGGTACATCTCTTACCATGTTCATATACATAAGTTCAATTCGAATCACTAAAAGTTGTTTTTTTATGTGTCATGAAAGAGTAAATGTTGCCAGACCTTGTGAAGAGTAAATATTGCAAGACCTTGTGATCTAAAGACTAGACGTACCAATAGATAATGGAAATTGTAATTTATACTGTCTACATGATGGTTGCACATAGTTCAAACATCATGCTTTTGCAATATTTGTACTATCTCTATATTTCTCTCATGCAAGGATTGCATGTTGTATCATATATTAGAAGAGTATATACTATGTTACCGCTTTATTTATTTGTTGTACTTTTTCTGGGTTCTCATTTCTTATCTGTTTTATTTCCTTCATCATGTTTATGCCTTTTGTATACCTGCGATGGATGAAATAGACATAATAGATACATATATACTCTTAACTTTTATATCTTGTTCATTTCCTTCATTTGTAACTTTCATAATGTTGATTTCACATATTGATCTTCTTACTCTCATAATATTGGTTTATATATATTTATATTCAATTCTTTTATAGGTCAAGCTAGTATGGTATTATAACAATGCATTGGGGAGGCCAAAGAAGAAGAAAATCATTGCACGATCACAATCGTAAGCTATATATTATTTATCCACTTATGTGCCTCACACAAAGAATGTAATTCTTACTTTGTTATATTTTGTTTTTTGTACACTTTTTTATATAGCACATCCAGTGTCATTTATTTTAATTGATCACCTCTAAATTGCCCATTTTGTATATGTTATTGTTAAGTTTTACGGAATCACTTTTAATATCATGCTTAATGTTTATTTCAGATATCATGGAACAACATTCATATCGGCTAGTCTATCTGGGTGGGTGTTATTTTCTTTTAAAAAATTAGCTAGATCAAAATATATCCAACATTAGAGATTTCACTAATGAAATCACTACCTCATATTTGAAATCATTTTGTTGATTCCTTCTACATGTTTAGTCTTCTTGCCATGCACCAAGACTTTGATCTACCAGGAAATTTTGTTCTGCACACAGACTGCCCTCACTACTGGCGTTTCCATCTCCCTGGTACTCCTCAAAATTATGCTTTATGATTATCCCAACAATTTTTTTGATGAAATGATTTTTGTGGCAAATAGGTGAGACGGAAGAAGATTTTGCAAGTAGATTAGCCAATAATTTAGAGAATCTTATCCTCAAAGAAGGACCAGAAACGGTAGAGCTATTTTGATAGGCCTCAAATAAGCTTAACTAATACCAGACTTTACAGATCTAATCGATATTTTCCCCTTAGATTGCTGCCTTCATTGCTGAGCCAGTGATTGGTGCTGGTGGTGTCATCCTTCCTCCAAAGACATATTTTGAGAAGGTGGTTCCACATGTTATAATTTAAAGTTATATGGTGTATTTTTTTTCCTAAGTGGCACTAGTATACAAACGGTTTTTTTGTCAATGCTAGGGCTTTTTGTCCACTGGCAGTTCATAACACTAGTAGAGAACAGACCTTTGATCCTCGGCTAAAATGGGCTCTAGTCCCGGAATTTTTTGCGCCCGGGACTAGAGATACCTTTAGTCCCGGTTGGTGGCTCCAACCGGGACTAAAGGTCCCCGCCCCAACGGCTACTGCGCTGCATGAGGTGGCGGGGACCTTTAGTCCCGGTTGGAGCCACCAACCTTGGGACTAAAGTATACTTTTTACTCCCGGTTGGTGGCTCCAACCGGGAGTAAAGGTTCACTCTCGGGCCGTGGCTGCGCCCGGGGTTGAAAGTTACCTTTAGTCCCGGTTGGATCCACCAACCGGGACTAAATGTTCTCCTTTATAAATCGGCCGTCTCCTCCTTCCTCCCCGAGCCCGAGCTCGGCACATTTTGAAGCTCACTGCAGTAGTGTTCTTGCTTCCTCCCTTCCTCCATTGTTCCTCCATCCATTATTCGATTCCTCCATCGATTTCTTGATTCCTCCGTCGATTCTTCAGTTGTAAAGGTTACCAATCTCATACTCTCATTTTTCACCATTGTCTTATCTCATTTTGTTCACTATATATATATATGGTTCTTTATTTTGGTTTTTTTCATTTGTAAGCAATTTGAGCTCAAAATCACTTCAAGCTTGCATATTTACATGAAATAAGGTTAAAGTAGCTAGTTGAACTTGCGGACCGTGTTCATCTCGGCGAGCACGTTCTCTGCCGAAAGCAGTAACGGACGTCAAGGAGGAGCTTTGATTCTACGAGGGAGAGCAGCAATGGTCGTGGAAGACCGTGTTCCCTTCCTCGTAGAATTGGAGCTCTTCCGTGGTCAGGCACGCAGTGCCGTCTGTGGAGAAATGCTCGCCGAGATGATCACGTAAGCAAGGTCAACTAGTAATACGGATGGTTATTTATTCACATGTCCCGATATAAATCGCGCATGAGTCTCATCAATCACCGTACCCAAACGTAGTATATATATAAATATAAACTTAGAAAATAGTTAGAAAATTATAGAAAATCCATACTAGTTGAACTTGCGGACCGTGTTCATCTCGGCGAAAGCACGTTCTCTGAAAGCGATAGCGGACGTCAAGGAGGAGCTTTGATTCTACGAGGGAGAGCGGCAGCGGTCGTGGAAGACCGTGTTCCTTCCTCGTAGAATTGGAGCTCTTCCGTGGCAGGCACGGTGCCGTCCGGTGGAGAAATGCTCGCCGAGATGATCATGTAAGCAAGGTCAACTAGTATGGATGGTTATTTATTCACACGTCCCGATATCGTCGTAGTAGTGCATTATATGTGTACATTCCCATTCTTACTCGTTAATTTGCGAAAATATCATATGAATTACTTACCGCCCATAAAAAAAGCGAGAACACAATGACCATTAAAAATATCATTGTTTAGAGATCTAGATAATTTTATAGTTTGTTAATTTTATTTGTTTATAAAAGAAGAAATTTATAGTGTATTAAAAAATGAGTATAGAGAGATGGCAATTTGCTTAGGGTCCTCGGCCTCTCATGGGTTTCCAAAGCGACTTAGGCGGGCCTTCCTCTCATTCCATGCGGCAAGTGTCGTGATGAGATGAAGATTGTGATGGAGTACCGAGTGAAGAAGGAGGGTCCCAACAAGGATCGTATCTTCTACAAGTGTCCGGATCGCAATGTGAGTTATTTTATCGTATTTAATGATTATGGTTAGTTTATACCTATTTTCATGATGGTTGTGATTAAAGTTCTAATTTTTTGTTTTAATTTGATTGGGATGGCGGTGGGCGATGTTCGGGCTTCTCTTTGGGAGGAAGAGTATGTTGAACTCGTGCAAAAATATCTTGCACAACTGCAGTGAATCTGATGGCTAATGAGGCGGTGATCCGGTAGAAGAAGCCCAAAGATGTTGCACAATCGGGGATCATGTCTGTTTTAGTTGAGATTGGTCATGAAATCCTTGTGCTCCTGAAATGTATTTTAGCTTTAGTTCTTTTAGTGGTAGTTGGGATTGTCTACATTGTAGCGATGCTTTCATAAATTTGTATCTTTTGTGGTGGCACGCATGTTGTATAAATAATTAATTATGATCTAGGTTTTAATATGATATTTATGTCATGTAATGCAGATGAGCCGTCATTGGATGTATAATCTTGATCGCCGCTCACAAGAGTTCATTGGCGTGCATTCTTTATTACGTGCGCCGAGACAAACAAACAATGACGGTTTCATGTGCTTTGCCCATGTGCCATATGTAAGAATACGGTGGAATATCCTTGCTCAAGGACTCTTCATTCACACTTGTTCAAGTCGGGTTTCATGCCAAACTATATTTGTTGGACAAAGCACGGAGAAACCGGTGTTGTAATGGAAGAAGATGAAGAAGAACAATGGGACGACAATGATATTATTCGATGGTGCGTGCTTCAATGATCTTGCAATGGGGAAAAGTTGAAGAAGAGGTAGTCGCGAGAAGATGAGTGGTGATGATCTTTGTCGGGTCATTCGTGATGCACAAAGAGAATGTGAAAGTGAAAAGGAGAAGATCAAGTTCGAGCGGATGCTAGAAGATCACAAGAAATTGTTGTACCCAACTTGTGATGCAGGCGAGAAAAAGTTGGGAACCACACTAGAATTGCTGCAATGGAAGGCAAAGAATGGTGTATGTCGACAAGGGATTTGGAGAGTTACTAAAAATCCAAAAGAAGATGCTTCGAAGTACAATGAATTGCCCGCCACTACCTACGAAGCAAAACAAGTTATACATCCTATGGGGCTAGAAATAGAGAAGATACATGCATGTCCTAATGATCGCATCCTATACCGTGAAAAGTACGAGAAATTGGATGCATGCCCGGTATGCCATGCGTCATGATATAAGATCGGTGAGAGATGACCCTGGTGATGTTGAGGGCGAAACGTCCACGTAAGAAAATCCCTGCCAAGGTTATGTGGTATGCTCCTATAATACCACGCTTGAAACGTCTGTTCGAAACAAAGAACATGCAAAATTGTTACGATGGCACAAAGAAGACCGTAAGGTAGACAATATGTTGAGACACCCTGGCGATGGGTCCAAAGTGGAGAGCAATCGTGAGAGAATTCGGAGTTTGCAAATGACGCAAGAAACTTAAGGTTTGCTTTAAATGCAGATGGTATCAATCCTTTTGGAGAGCGAGCAGTAGTCATAGCACTTGGCACATTACTCTAAGTATCTACAACATTCCTCCTTGGTTATGCATGAAGCGGAAGTTCATTATGATGCTGTGCTCATCCAAGGCCCGAAGCACAACGGCAATGACATCGATGTGTACACGAGACCACTTATTGATGAACTTCTCATTTTGTGGAATAAAGAAGGTGTACGTGTGTGGGATGAGTACAAGCAGGAACACTTTGATCTGCGAGCATTGTTGTTCGTAACAATCAATGATTGGCCTGCTCTAAGTAATCTTTCGGAGACATCAAACAAGGGATATAATGCATGCACACACCTTGCTTCGGTGATATTAGAGGTGTATTCTTGAAAAAAATGTCGAAAGGTCGTGTACCTTGGCCATCGTCGATTTCTTCCTGCAAATCACCCCGTAAGAAAGAAAGGTAAGCATTTTAAAGGGAAATCGGACCACACGACCAAGCCTCGCATAACCGAACCGGTGAGGATGTACTCGATATGGTCAATGATGTGAAAGTCGTCTTTGGAAAAGGACATGGAAGCCAACCTATTCGAAAGACGCTACGGTCACGCACCCATGTGGAAGAAAAAAGTCCATATTTTGGGACCTACCCTATTGGCAAGTCACGGAGGTCCGTAGCTCGATCGACGTGATGCACTGACGAAGAATCTTTGTGTGAACCTCGCTAGGCTTTATGGGTGTGTATGGAAAGCCTAAGGACACATTTGAAGCACGACAGACCTGCGTTGTTTGAGAGAAAGAGACAACCTACATCCAGAGAAGGCAGATGATGGACGCCATTACTTACGCCCCTGCTAGCTACACTCTAAGCAAAGGAGAAGGAAATCATGTTTGAATGCTTAAACAACATCAAGGTACCATCTGGATTCTCCTCGAATATAAAGGGTATTATAAATGTGCGAGAGAAGAAATTTCAGTAACTTAAAGTCCCCATAGATCATCACGTTCTCATGATTTAATTACTTCCGAGTTGCATTAAGAGGAATTCTACCTCCAAATGTACGTCTAGCCACCGTAAAGCTATGTGCATTCCTCAATGCAATTTCTCGAGAAGGCAATTGATCCAACTGATCTAGCTAAACTACGAGAATGATGTGGTTCAATGTCTCGTCGACTTTGAGTTAGTGTTCCCTCCTTCCTTCTTGATATTATGACACACCTCCTAGTTCACCTAGTCAAGGAGATTTTCACTCTCGGTCCTGTGTTCCTACACAACATGTTCCCTTTAGAGATTCATGGGAGTCCTAAAGAAATATGTTCACAACCGTGCTAGCTTGAGAAGGAAGCATCGCCAAGGGCTATGGAGCAGAAGAGGTCATTGAGTTCTGTGTTGACTTTATTCCCGACCTTGACTCGATTGGTGTTCTGAATCGAGACATGAGGGGAGACTAAGCGGAAAAGGGACACTAGGGAGGAAAACATATATTGGTACGGATGATGATTATTTCAATAAAAGCGCACTACACAGTTCTCTGAGAACTCCTCTTTGGTAGATCCGTATATTGAGACACACAAGGATCTCTTACGATCCGAGTTTCTGGGAAGCTGAAGCTTGGATTACGCATAAGCACATGGAAACTTTCGGCGGTTGGTTGCGAAAAAAATGTCAAGGTGATGAGAGCATCCATGAGCAAGCTGTATTTATTGGCTATGCAACCATCATGGCATATCGTCACATACAAAGGGTGCGAGATAAATGGGAACATATTCTACACAAGAGCCCAAGATAAAAGGAGTA